TAGAGTAGCATATGACACGGTGGATGGCTCGATCTCATTGGCCGCGAAGCATTGGATGCTAACCAGATAATATGGACTTCGAAGGATCTGGTCGGATTCGACATAGTTGAATCCGAGTCGAGATAAGGTCCGAGTCAGACAAACCCGACTATGAGATGCAACAATAGGTCATCTGTGGGTCTCTAGTACAACATATGTTCTATGTCATAAGACCTGAGCTGGCACATGTATTCGGGATGGTGACAGTCCTGCTTTGGGCCGACCAAACGCTACGACTGGGTAGTTACAAAGATAGGCTTCAGGCTTGCCCCGACCCATGCTGCAAGACATGGTCGAGCAAGATGGGATTTGCCCCTCCGATTAGGAGAGATATACTCTGGGCCCCTTGTGTGATCCGGCCAAGATAAGAATGGCAATGCGACAAGGATTATGAGATAATCCGGTTTGTGGTCAGCATCACTAGAACGAGAAAGAGGTCAGGCTAGCACAAGGATGACAGACTCGCCTTGAGCCCGACAACATATATCGTGTGGTAAAGGGAACAAAAGTGTGACATGTTGTACAGGTTCGCCAACCGGCTTCATTGCCTACTTGGTGATTGGCATGCCTTGCTAGAGGCCGCTACGAACTGAGCAGGTCGGAGGTCATCCGACTTGGGACCAAGCCGACTTGAACCTAAGGGGCCACACGCTTAAGGGAAGGAACCTATGAGGCCGGACCGGACTCCACGAGTCAGATGTGATCCTACTCGGACTCGGATCCAGGTCGAACAGAATTTGGGCTTTAGGATCCGTGTTAGGCCCAAGTGTTGAACCCACGACGGATGCCTATATATAGTGGAGGTGCAGCACACTTATTCAGTTGATCGCTTCAGCGCCGTCACTACGGCTCTGCATGTGTTGCAAGTAGCCACCTGCACTTGTAGTCGACTGTGTGATCGGGCCTAGCAGTCCGCCACACGGTGTTCCTCCTGCATGTGCGAATACCGTTAGAGTCGGTGCACTTGCGCCGCTCTGTCAAACCTATATGTGGGATCTGACAATTAATTGTTCGAGGGAGATCGGACGAGGAGGAGACAACTCTGGACGCGCTGCCCCAACTCTACTTCCACTGCATGACACTACGTATCTAGTGGTGACGATCCTTAATCCATTCCCGTAGCATGTTCCTGGTTGTTCTGCGCGTAAGAAAACTTTATTTTGCAGTCAGCACACCCTACCATGGAACCCAACATTCTAATTGTCCATATGAAACATCCAGAAATACACAACTAGATCATTTTGAAGCTCGAGTTTGTGGATTGTGAATCTGATGATGTAGTTCGAGAGATCTCGCAAGTCGTCGGATTCTGCTCTAGAAGTTGTATAGGATCAGCCTTTTTGTTTTGAATTAAGACCATGGCGAACTCCCTCACCCTCATTCTCACAATCATGATTTGCATGACACATAAACTTTCATCACCTCACACAATGTCTTTGAATCTCATTGTTTAGCAGGCCCGGGAACAAATGCAAAATGAGCTTGGAGTACTCCAAATGCCCTCTCCACATTCTTTCTAGCATCGTCTTGTCTTGCAGCAAAGTGGCATTCTTTGTTACCTCTTGGCTTGGAGATGGTCTTGACAAAGGTTGCCCATGGAGGTAGATACCAACACAAAGATAGTACCTCATTTTGTACCCATGCACGTTGATGGTATAGTTGCACGAGCAAGCTTTGTCCGCACACAACCTTGCAAACAACGAAGACCGCTCAACACGTGATGTCATTGTGAGACCCTGACATATCGAAGAAAGAGTGCCAATTCCGTAAGTCTTGTGATGCAGCTACTTCATGAATTTTGGCTGGCTTTTTATGATGACCCATGTATTGATTTTGTTGAGCATATGAACAGTTATTCAATTTTAAGTGCACACCTTGACTACTACAATTACGAATCTGACCATGGCGTCGAGGCATGTGCTTTCAGACGTCTGGAGGTACTCGTCCCAGGATTACGTGGTCATGCCATAAGCAAGCATCGTCATAGTAGTTGTCCACTTCTCGAGACTCGAGAACCTGACGAGGCCAAAGACATGCTTCTCCGGCTTGAAATAATCATCATATGCCCTGACACATGTGTAGAGGCGCATGAACAAGGGTTGCTCCATCTGGAATCAACGCCGAAAATAGATTTTGAATAACGCATCGAGGGTAAAGTAGCCATAGTACCGAGCCATATGCCATTATACACTATTCTAGTTTAACACTCGGTGTCCCTTTTGTGAATCTTTGTAGTTAAGAACATGGTCCTCAGCATGCTACGTTTCTTGAAGAATTGCCACCATCATCACCGTTTCATCCTCATCTTCTAAAACGAAACCATAAACTCGATTTAGAAGTATTCGTCTGTATCCATCGTGCTTGATTCAAAGTGAGTGACTAGAACATAAATTTTTTGCACCATGGAATTTTTCTGGACACTTTCCGGGTGTTTGTCCTCCATGGACGGCATCAGCAGGGGTGGAGGGTATCGGGGTGGTGACCAAAGAGAGTACGGCGTCGGTGTCCGGCAAGGCTTGGGCGGCGTTGACCGGGGTTCGACAAGGCCCGCGCGGCGTCCTAGGGGCTACAATGGTCTTGGAGCGGTAGATAGAGAGCGGCGGAGGAGGGCAGGATTGTGAAAATACGTGGGTTCTGAATAGAGTTTTGGGTGGGACATGGGTGTCGGAGTCCGACATGGCGGACATCCGGACTCCTCGAGAGCTCTCGTCGATTTGGGTCCGGGCTGCGGGGTTTCAACATATAGGCCCTGTTTGGATCCCTAAGGCCAACTCCACCGCGCGACCCCAAACGGACGTCCGTTTTGTCCGGATTCTGTCCGTTTGGGTAGGGATTTGGGGTCGTGTCCGACCGTGTCCTGGGATGCGGTGGCCGTGCGCCCACCGCGCGAACGCATCTCGGTCGCATCCTGTCCGCGTATTATTTCTTTGCAAGTCCTTAACTTTATTTCATCATTCATTTTTGGTACATGGAAAATGCATCTTCACATTTTGACTAGTAAAGTAAGGCCAAAGAAAACAAGAACCACAAGAATACATTTTAGAAGATACCCAATTTCCATAACTGCTCCCTTGAGTTGGGTTAGGGCCTTCTCGATGCACTCGTTGTTGATCTGTGGAGGAGGGTCAATCTGGCATCCTCCTTTCTTCTTCAAGCCAGAAGGCTCGATCTAGCATCCTGCTTTCTTCTTCAAGCCGGAAGTCGATGTTGCTTCCTCCTCACACCTAGTCTCGTGTCTAGCCTCTAATCTAGCAACGAGTGCACTTGTCTCATTTACAGCCTCTATGCTAGCTAAAGGTGCACGAACATGTACTAAATTTCGCTCTATCAATATATCGATGTACTCTTCTTCCCAATACCAAAACTTGCATCCATTCTACACAACAAAATTTGAAGTTAGCACAACTAGTCAAATCTAGAGCACAAACCGAAGCTAAAAAAGCGCATACCCCATCGTTTAAGCACTTGATGAACACCCATCTGGAATGTTCCGGCGTTGTAGACACGCGGCGCACGACCATCCTTGGGCAGTGGTCGCACTTAATGAGTGGCAACGGTGCGCCGGCGAGCTTTTGGGCAAGCACCGAGCCCGGCCGACCGCCATTCGTGTATCTGTCGACGGACCACCGACGGTGCAGATCCGAGCGGCTAGAGGAGGAGCCACTGCCTGCATGTGGCCTTGCGGCCCTGCTAGGGCCTTCCGACGAGGTGCCCGACCAGTCCATGGTGCGACCCGGCCTCCCACAGCCGGTCGAGCTCAAGACCGACCGGATCCGCCCCAAAACCGGCCGGCGGGTGCGCAAACCAGGTGGCCGTGGTTGGGTAGCTCGACGGCGCCGAGGGGAAGGGGTTGGGCGAGCTCGCGTCCAAACTGCACGGCTGCAATGGCAGCGGCGGCGGCGGCAACGAGGGGAAGAGTGGGGAAGAGTGGAGGGGGTGCGGCCGGAGGGAGGGAGGGGGCGGATAGAAAAAGGCCCGTCTTGTGCCACCGACGGGCGGGCCAGGGGAGGACATGCGCAGACGACCCGCGCGTCCGCGTGGTGTCCGTTTCACCCCAAAAGCGGCGCAAACTTGAGTTGCGGATGGGTCGAAAGCGGACACAAAGCGGACAAAAGTCCGTTTGCTCCCGCGCGCTGGGCCGGACAGGATAGGGTCACGCGGTGGAGTTGGCCTAAGTTAGAGTTAGTTTTAGTTAGTTGGGGCTCAAATAACCCAAAAGTATCCAAACATGATGGGTTAGTTTGAGTTAGTTGGATCTAACCCACCCCAAAAAACTAGCCCACACTAGAGGAGTTTATTTGGGTTAATTCTCCTTGGCCCACTAGAAAAAATAGTAAAAAAGTTACCCCTCCCATCCAAATAGGGTCCAAAATAGTCAAATGATTAAGAAAGAATATTTATTGTCAATCTAATCCAACCATTCAAACAACTTTTTTATTAAAGTTAATTTAAGGTCAGTTCAGAGTTAGAATCTAACTCTAACCTCTAATATCCAAACAGAGCCAAGACCAGTTTGGACCGATTTGCTGATCCACCTTAGATGACTAAAAGCATCGGAACGGACTGGTCCAGAAATATGCGGGTGTTTTGATTGTTCAGGTTGGAAATGCCTAATCCCGGTCAAAGCAGAAAACCTCATGATGTCTCCAACAGTGTGAACCTAATAATTTCTTGCCAGACAAAGTACATCACACCCTGCTACCAGTGTTGCTCGCTCATAATAGAGTGGTTTCATTTCATATATTTTTTTCCTCCATCCAATCGTAGTATTGCCACTGTTAAAAGTTCCAACGTAGTACGAGTAGTGGTGGTATCGCTCTACTACCCTGCCCCCTTTATATAAAGCCTCCCCGGGCTTCTACTCCTTTTCAATCTGTCTTTGTCTTGGCCTTTGCCTCCTCCTCTCCCCATCCTCATCACCCTTTCCTTGCTCTTGTTTCCGTATTGGCTTGTCGCCTGTGATGGGGGCCACTTCTCCTTCAGGCCTGGAGCTCACCATGGCTGTCCCCGGCCTCAGCTCCTCCTCTGGCTCAGGTAAGCTCGGAAGAGCACCTACCAGCTGTTTTCCTTCCCCGTCTCCCTCCTACAACTGCAAGTATAGCTTCCGCTGGAAAAGTTGGATCGTCTTCTCCGTTCATGGCTTCAAATCTTGTCGGTGAATATCGCGTTTCTACACGCATGCACAAACTTTTTTGGGTGCTTCGGGAAGAAACGCACAGCACAGTAGCTAGCATTTTTCTCTCTCTTTCAGTCGCATACACGCATGTTAAATGTTTGAGTTTGTTCAAGTAACCAGCTGGCTGTTGATGGTGTAACATCGTCGAGAACTAACTAACTGTAACGTGCTGTCCTTGGCAGAGGGGTTTGTTTGCAACAACAATATCAGCAACAACGGTGGCGGGAACATGAGGGACCTGGACATGAACCAGCCGGCGAGCGGCGGCGAGGAGGAGGATTTCCTGATGGGCGGCGTGGAAGAGGACGAGGAGGAGCGGGGCGCCGGCGGACCGCACCGCCCAAAGAAGCTCCGCCTCTCCAAGGAGCAGTCCCGCCTCCTCGAGGAGAGCTTCCGCCTCAACCACACCCTCTCACCGGTCAGCAACACACGTCTTCTACCCAATGCTTGTCGACTCCTTCAGTTTCCTGTACACTAATAGCTTGCTTAAGATCGCCGGCATGCAGGTGTAGTACACGTACTTTACGTAATAATACTAGTAGTATAACATACGTACGTGACGTCCACCAGAAATCTCGTCCACGGACGAGAGCATTTATTGCGAAGTTGATCCGTTGGTAGTACGGATGAATCTTGAACTGGATTCGTTTCCGTGGCGCTACTCTGATGGACATTGAAGAGCACGATGAGAACCCTGCCATGGGGTCGGACAACCACTGATCCATTATATGTCCCATTCATGGGAAATCAAGATAAGTGGTACCCTCCGGCACATTACTCGTTATTAGTGGCATTAGAGGTCGGTACTACTCGGCAGTGGTACATTACCGAAACGGTGCACAACTTGTAGTAGCAGCTTGGAGAGATCTAGTCTAGTACGTAGTAGGCAAGTAAAGAGTGGGGGCGCGCCTCTGATTGTTTGGCGCGGTACATGGTGCATCAAAGTCTAGCAGAGACTGACTGTAGAGCACAACGTTGGTCTTATGCAGTGGGGTGGTATTCATGTCGTCGTGGTACAGTGCGGCTGCGGCGAGTAATGAACCTATCTAGCCACAGCTGCCTCAGAGGGTAACGCAGTTACTCCTCCACATACAGCAGTAGTACGTAATAGGTTTTGTTTGACTGGCGGGATTGGTGTTACTCCATATCTAACTCCATATCTATTCACGCCTCTTTGTACTACATATGGACGGTGAAGGCCTGTGTGAACCGTCATGGGCGTGCAGCGACTTTTATTTATTTAACGCCTTGGAAATGGAATTCTTGCATGCAGAAGCAAAAGGAGGCCTTGGCGATCAAACTGAAGCTGCGGCCCAGGCAGGTGGAGGTCTGGTTTCAGAACCGCAGGGCAAGGTAAAAATAGCAAGGAATCCCTTTTTTAACTTGTTGGTCTTCACATACACAGTGTACCTCTTTATACATGTTCACGAGCACACATTGACATGGCCAAGCCTCACGTTCACTTGGAACTTCACCGTTAAGGGACCACCACTCGTCTACCCCACAAAATCGTACTAGTCCATTCGGCGGTCAGTATTAAGATAATCAAGTTAGTTGGCTTAATTTAGTAACTTTTTTAGGAAACGGGCAGGGGGTACTGCCAATGCATTCAAGTAGGGGAAGACGGTGACGTGCAATTGGTTCGTTAGTTAATGATGAAACCGAGGCAAATGGGACAAACTTGGAGGACCTGCTTGTTCCTTATGTTACTCATTCTCCGTTGAAAGGTCAAGTAGCTCAAGGCAATGCTTGTCTGGTCCTTAATAGAGTAACTTACAATCAGTAGATAATAAGGTGTTTATCACTATATATGGAACATCAGCCCAGTAATTGACGTTTGAAGCTACTGGCGTAACGTTGCAACTTCATTGAGCAAATCCTACACGTCCATGGTACGCACGCGCTGCTTAACTTGCAGGCTAGCTTGGCTGTGCATGCATGCTACTTTGAACTCGCGTAGAGATTAAGCTGAGTCGTTTCTGATCCGCCGTTGTTCAGTCCAAAGAAACTTGCATAGAGGATTAGTTTCTATCGTAATGTAGTGATAACGCCAATCAAACTAGTAGTGATAATATGCTTGTCCAGCACTACTCCAGTATGTACCGAGTAATGATAGCCTATTCTCGTCCCAACATAATTATGGACCCTTCCCTCAATTAAGGTGGCATAGATCACTGGCTATCTACCTTGAAACTTGTACTGCATCTGAGATGCGGGACAACATCAACTAGGTAGATTCTCTAGCTTGATAGAGTAAGGCGGCTTCACCACCTTTTATAATTATTACTCCATGATACACGTACTACTAGATTAGGATTCTCTAGATTAAACAACTGAGCTAATCGCTGGCATCAGCACGTGGACTAATCAGCACGTGCAAGCCTGGGAACGGCTACAACTTGACCCCGGCTCAGCGAGTCTCGTGAAGTCGAAAGTGGAGCAAGTCGAAGGTACGGTCCATCTTATCCTGGCAAAGTCATTGGCCTTCCTTCACTCTACGTCGAGATGACAATGCTCTTGGAATGGGGGCCTATGGTCAAATTAAGTTGCGTATAGTGCTCTAGCTCATGCTAGTTTAAGCTCCCACGGTGAGATTCTATGCATTTGGTTGCCTTCTGCTCCGTGTACTCTGTCATCTTGTATACAACTGACCATGTTGTCAAGTTACAATTATATGTGCACCGTTCACTTGTGCAAGTGTAGGTTCCGAGGTTCAATGTTCCATTATGAGATCGATCGAGCAACTTGTGTTGTTTACTTACTATTCCTGGATCATTTTCTTTAGCTAGTGGTACTGGTTGAGTTGCTGTAATCTGAATGAATTGAACTACGTACGTGTGCAGGACTAAGCTGAAGCACACGGAGATGGAGTGCGAGTACCTGAAACGCTGCTTCGGCTCGCTGACGGAGGAGAACCGCCGCCTGCAGCGGGAGGTGGAGGAGCTGAGGGCGATGCGCATGGCGCCGCCCACGGTGCTCTCGCCGCACACACGCCAGCCACTCCCGGCGTCCGCGCTCACCATGTGCCCCCGCTGCGAGCGCGTCACCGCTGCCACCTGCCCGCGGATCACCCGCCCGGCCGCCTCGCCGTTCCACCCTCGCCGCCCCTCAGCGGCGTTTTAGGGTTTAGTTATGGTAGGGCTTAAGAGAAAAGGTCGAGGTAGATTTGCTAGTGGTAATGTAGGACGCACGATCGATAAGTCTTTGTGTAAATTGATGATGGAGGAGAAAAGAACATGGAAAAGGCGTAGTGGGGTCGTGTGGGGTTTGGAGGCGCCCCCATGGACCATTTGGGCCTGTGCCTCATGCCATGGACAACAAAAAATCTAGTTTCATTTGCTCATTTGGTCTTCTATAGGGTCGCGCGTTCTCTTCTTATTAAATGAAAAATGTCATGTTTGTCTTCACTTTTGATCCCTTGTACCAGGCGGGACATCCAGTATGATGCATTTTGCATGCGTCATATAGGAGCGGGACGACCACAGGGTCCAGGTGACTAGGCTGACCCACAGGGTACAACGCAAAGCGAGTTTTTTAACACGTGACGCGAAAATACCAAGAAAAGGAGTTCCTTGCGACCTCGCACTCTAGTAACATGTTGCTAGCCCGTCGAGAATTGATTTTGTTTTGTTTTTTATATTAGTGTGAATACTTTTCAAAAATTCTGAACCTTATTTTTTCCAAAACACGAACATATTTTTGAAAACGATGAACAATTTTTATAAACTCGAACATGAACATTTCTTGACAATGGGATCCAAATTGGAAAACGGGATTTTTTTTAAATTCCATATATTCTTGAATTTTCGTACATTTATTGAAAATCGTAGAACAAATAAACTTTCGAACATTTTTTGAAAAACATGAACAACAATTTGAAATATGAAATAATTTTTTCAATTTTTATTTTTTTGGTCAAATTCTGAAATATTTTTGAAACTTTTGAATTTATGGAAACCAAAAAATAAAAATGAAAAAGGAACAAAAAAAAAGAAGATGAATCAAAACAAAAAATGGATGCCCTCGCACGTATGACAAGTTGGGCGGCCCACTCTGTCGCCTCTATGCATTCGGCCGACTACTACTTGCCATCAAGAGCGGCAAATAGGGTTTTCCGTTCCAGGTGGCGATGGCATGCACTGTCATGAGTCGGCCTTTTTCTAGCGTTGGAAAATAGGTCGGCCTATTCATCATATTGTGTTTGCGCCAAGCATGTCGTATGTATCAATAGATATGGCCCCTGCTGCATGCGCTGGCGAGCCATGTTTTGTAGTTTTCCTAGACAAAAAGACCCAAAATCGATGTGCCCTGAGAATTGGTAGACCAGATGTTGTTATTGCATGCCTCAAACAAAAGGTGTTGTTACTGCACCCACCAAAAACAGTCTACCCATGTTCCCGTAAATGGGATTGTCCAGCCCATGCACCTCTTCTACCTCTCATATTTAAAAAGAACATAGTTCTTTTCATTTCCCGTTTCGCTCTTCTCCTTCGTTTGGCCCTCCCTCCCACTTCCTTTTTTCCCATACGTATCTCTCCTACTTGAAGACAACGCAATATTCCTCATTCCTCGTTTCGCTCTCCTCCTTAGTCCGACCTTCCGTCTAACCTCCTTTTTTTGCATGTTATCCTTCCCTCGTTGTGTATGTACATCTATCCATGTAGCATAAAAAAATGGCTAGAGAACTGCCAGTGGAAACCCTATGCACGCACGTTCCCACATGTGTTTTCTCCTTAATAACCTTATATACCAGCACATAACGACCAATGAGGCCCATCTAGCTGTTAAAATGTTTAATAATGATTAGATCATTTCCCATACGTTGCAAGGGGCACGAACAAATCTTAGTATATTAGGCCTGATTTACTTGTTCATGTTAATGTTGTTGTGTAAAAAATGATTTTATTTGGTAGGCACTAATTTCATAAGGACGTATTCGCTTATCAAAGAAAACAAAATTTTATTTGGAAAGTCAATAAGAGGTGGGATAGTTGAGGTGGTTTTTAGGAAGAAAAAAAGTAGTGAAAAGGAGAGATGGGGGCAAAAGGTAAAAAAAATAGGAGAGGGAAGGGGAACATACATACATTGGACGAAGGACAAGGAGACTGACATAAAATTACCTAATTCTTAGGTACGAGACACTGGTAGGTTAGTCCATGATTTACCTGCTCATATTAAAGTGATTGGGTCAAAAGGATTTTTTTGGTAAACAATAAATGGTAAGCACTCGTTGGCTTACCCAAAAAAGAGTTTTATTTCATAAATCACTAAGATGTGTAGGGAAAAAAATGAAAGCAGGGGGGGGGGGGGGGTGTGCAAGGTTCAAAAAGGGTGAGCGGAGCATAATTTAGCTTGTTTTCTGATTTTG